AGAAGTGTCGCAGCAACATTCCAAGTGAAAACATTGAAGCAATGTTTATTCAATGTTGTACAGCAACTTGCAACATAGAGCAACATTTTGGAAACGTTTCATCAACATACTGTGTTACTTGGGGTGCTGAGGTGTGCACTTCGCTGCTATCGTACGAGCGCACAAACGACTGGCTGGATTTTGTAGTCACTGGAGACGAAAAGTGGATGCTGTACGTCAATTGCCGACGCAGGCGCCAGTGGGTCGATGCCGATGCCTAGCCAGAGCCGGAGCCGAAAGGTGACCTGCACCCACGAAAAGTCATGTTGTGCATTAGTGGGACGTGCAAGGCGTGATCTACTTCGAGCTGCTCCCACCTGATACCAACATCACCGCCGCCTACTACTGCGATCAGCTGCAGAAACACGGAAACAGATCACACGGCAGAAACTGCTGGATCTGGGTTGGGAGGTTCTGCCTCACCCTCCGTATAGCCCAGATCTGGCGCCAACCGACTACCATCTCTTCCACTCTGGACGACCATCTTCGCCAGAAAAGGTTCAACGATGACGCCGAGGTCGAAAACTGGCTGACTGATTTTTTCGACTCACAGGCTGTTCTACAGGGATGGAATCAGGAGTCCCCCTGATCGTTGGCAGAAGGTGATTGTAATGGCGATTACTTCGTTGAATTAACTTTTTTGCTTTTTTAAAAAACTCAGTTGTATGGAATGTTCTCGAAACGGCCATATCTTTCCGATCGACCCAATAGTTTGATTGATGCTGCTAAAGCTGCTTTTTCATACTTCGTTTCGAAATGGACAATATCTGAACTCGACTTTTGTTGATTGCGGTGGGAAAAGAAATAATTTTTATGAGATGTGAGTAGTGGTAACATTACCGTAACGTTACCGGTTTACCGGTTATTACCGCAGTGTTGCTTACCAGTAATATTACCTGTAAATTACCAGTGAATCACTTTTTCATATTTTCAGCACTTTTTTTCGCTAGAAAATGCATTCTGCTGTATTTATTATTTGCCGGAGAGTTATCCAAGGCCAGAGTCAATGACGATGACATAATCACAAAGGTATCAAGGCCTTGGCAGCATTTCTGCATGTCTTTCATGTTATGCTGAGAAATTACTTAGAAATTAGTACAGAGATTTTCTAACCCCTGGCCAATCCAAAGCAAAAATTCCTGCTGGATCCAGTATATGTTTTGAATAGAATAAGGTGGAACTATCTGGTAACCGCTGGATATTGCTGGTATTCCTCACCAGCTGAGGAGCTGGAATTTGCTGGACGGTGCGCTTCTGAATGCCGAAAGAAGAAATGTCAAGAAAATAGTCGACGGCAAAGATGTCGATGGAGACTGTAGAAGTGCAGCAATGTCGATAGGAGAAAAGATTGATCGAGTAAATGTGGAAATTCAGTTCATCTTTATTCAGCATGTACCAGTGGCAAAAGCTGAAATATAAAAAAAACACCATTCATATACAAGCTCAGGCTTTTAGGATCGAGTTTAATTCATTACTATTGGAGTTTTTTGACGTTTATGTCATTATCGTGATCCGAGCGGAGACGAATTGCCTTGCGTCTATGATTGTATTAGCAAAGGAATGTCAGCTCTTTACTCCTCTCCTCTGATATATTACTTAGGTACGCCAACAGGCTCTCATCGTCCTCCAGGTCTTTCATGTCATTTTTCAGATTGTGAGCTTTTTTTTGTTTCGTGGCTTTCGTTTAATAGGTGAAGGCGAGAATCGGGCTTATATTGGGCAGATGAAATCCTTCCCACAAATGATCGAAAGTGACCAACGAAAAAGCTAGCAAGAATGTCAGCATAATGTTTTCTGCATTTTGCGAGGGGTGCTCTTAAAGTGTTCCGTGTCTAGTAAGCCTAGTACTTGCTAGCACGAGGATAATGTCTCAATTTGTCGCCTCCATTGTACTAAATGATATGTTCGGATTTATCTTTGCATTACGCAAAGAAAACTTTTCGTTGGGATTTCAAATGGACTTTAATAATACGTCAAAATAAAATAAAATAAGCACTTCATGTACAAAGGAAATGATTTTGATCACTAAAGGGGACAATACACTTCAAAACCTGCACAGGATTGGGATTGGGAGCCTGGGGTTGGGTCCCCGCCTCCAGGAGGGTTAAAACCTCCTCTTGGCCATGCGACGTGGGTACTGCCCTTTACCCAGCTTTTGCAGATGAAACCACTACTCCCGCCCTCTCCTTCAGGTTCAGTAGATTCGTTGTATAATAGAAAGGAAATAAAAGCATAAAGTAATATAAAATGGTGAAATGGATGAATCGAATACAATGTTCTGAAAGGTATGATTTGTAGATTTTGCTCTTGGCAAGCGTCAAGATGAAATCAATGATGGAGATTTCCGATTTTGTAAGGGAAGCACGTTCTGGGAAAATGTGGAAGAGAAACAGTTTAACATTCATGGTTATGTTAGCATGAATCAATTTCAAAAATTTTTCAATGTATACACTCATTTCCTTTAATGAGGGACATTCAATAAACACGGATTTAAGTCCCCAGACTGCCACATGAAGGACATAATGAAGAAGAGTTGCTGTTCATTTTAGATTTCAAAACTGGGGACATTAGGGAATTGTGTAGAAGTCTCCAGTTGATGTCATCTTTTTTTTCTGAGGGGAGCCGGTAAAAAGATTTCCAGACTGGGACAAATTTTTCTGTGCCTGGGAGAAAGCATTGGACATGGTGTGTGGAGTGATTGACTAGGCTTTTCTTGTAGATGAATTGAAATGTAAGGTCATAAATCCTTTCCCGAGTTGAAAGGTCGAAATGGACATGGTCTTTCTGGGAGTTGTATTAAGAAAATGGAGCTGAAATGAGTGCTTTGTGCTGTTTTATCAGGAGGAATTTTTTCCTAATAGTGTGTAGGTTCATGGAAATCTGTGTATCCTGGGGTTTATTCTTCCTGTAATTGTTATAGTGGTTAATCCATGAGGTACCATTGTGTATATCTTGTAGTGTGGTAAAATTGGTTACTTCCCAAGCAGTAGACGGTGAAATGGAAAAGGCTTGGAGGAAAATATTGGGTTTCAGTGGAATTAAAGGGAAGAGGTCAGGAGAAGAAACCTCAGACTTGCAACTAAAGTTTAAAGGAAACCAAAGTGTTGCTGTTTCTATAATGTATGTAGGGGCTGTTTCCCCAAGTAGCAAGGGATCATCCCTGGGACATCCCATTTGGATCCTACGTGGGACAAAATGACATCCATGGGATGTCATTTTGTTCCCCGTTGTCCGTTGCGTGATGTGGACGTCCTATAGACACACGAAGGATTTGGTGTATGGGACGAGAGTATTTCTAACCTTACGGGATGTCCTTCGAATGCTCCAGGGATTTCCATATCCCGGGACGATTTCATTATGACATCCATGGGATGTCATTTTGTCCCACGTAGGATCCAATTGGGATGTCCCAGGGATGATCCCTTGCTACTTGGGTCATGTGTGATTGGTGGTGAAAGAAAAGTTTACTTAGGCAGTAGGACCCCTAGACTTCTGAGAGGGAAGTCGCAAGCTGAGCAAATAAAAAAAAGAAAGGTGTCATATGATGAATGTCTGCTTGCCATTGTAAGAACTCGTTTTAGAAAAGAAATGCGAAAGGAAAGTCTCCTAACTTCAAGGGAGACAATATTTTATCCGCCAAGGAGAAGCTTGCGGTGAAGATACACCGGATGAAGCTAATGTTTCCCAAGCCAGACAGAGTTTCTAAAAAGAGTTTCAAGTTTTAGGAGGAAACCAGGTGGAGGTTCGATACATGCAAGGGTATACCAGAGTTTTGGAGCTATCAGATGATTATCACAACACGTCCACGATAGGACATCTTGGGGAAACGAGGAGTCCATTTTGCAATTAAATAATTGATTTTGTGTTCTGCTTCCTCCCAATTCTTTTTTTTCAAGGTCTATGTTTCCGAGATATAAACCTAGAAATTTCAGACCCGTCTTCTTCCATTGGAAACCTCAAGGGGAATCATTTCTAGTTTGCCAAGATCCACACCAGAGTCCTGAGGTTTTTTGAACATTTAAGGATGCATTTGTAGATTTAGAATATATATCAAAACAATCAGAATGATTTGAAGCCAGATTCAGAAGATATAAAAATTGTGATATCATCAGCATATGCAGAAACAATATGAGGGTGAGTGGAATGCAGAGTTTGCTAGCTGACGACGAATTTAAATGGAGGAATGGTTCTAAGGAGATCGAAAAGAGAAGGCCAAATAAAGGATCACCTTGTCTGATACCTCTTTGGAAGGGAAAAGGAGCTGACAAATACTTCCCTATTCTCAGTAAGGATTGGTTATTTTTGTAGAGGGTTTTGATTGCTGATAAAAACAACTGAGGGAAGGAGAGTTTCTGAAGCGTATGAAAGAGATAATCATGCGAAATACGGTCAAAGGCCTTTTCTTGATCTACAAAAATAATACCTAAAGGACATTTATACTTATTGGAGTACCAGATTACGTCACGAATTAGGTGGAGATTGTTGTGAATATTGCGATTAGGGATGCAGTATCAGGTTTTCTTGATCTACAGAAATAATACCTAAAGGACATTTATACTTATTGGAGTACCAGATTACGTCACGAATTAGGTGGAGATTGTTGTGAATATTGCGATTAGGGATGCAGTATGTTTGGTCAGGGTGGATAATGGTGGTCAAGACACGTTTCAGTCGAGTGGTTAGAACTTTTGCGAAAATTTTATAATATCTATTCAGTAGTGTAATAGGGCGCCAGTTTTTAATATCCAGTTTATCACCACCCTTTGGAACTAAAGTGATCACTCTGCGTCTCAAGGAAAGTGGGAGTTCCTGAGATTGGAGAGCGGACAAGAATATTTCATTTCATACTCTCTCAAGTATGGTCAGAAAAAGGTGTAAAATTCAGTAGTGAGACCATCTAGTCCAGGGCTCTTCCGTTTTGAAAGGGTTTTAACAACTTTGTCAAAGTCAAGGATGGTGAAGGGCAAGTCAATATCATTTGATTCACTTGTCCCTAAGACCGGAATTTCATGGTACAGTTCTGGGATGATTTCTACAGGACTGTGACTAAATAAAGGGGAGTAGAAGGATGATACATGCTTTAAAATTGAGGGTGCATCATTAAGTATTTCTCCAGTGGCTTCATGTCTGATTTGAGTTAAAGATTGCCTGCAGCTTTTGTTGTTTTCCAAAGAGAAGTAATTGGTTGGAGCATCTGTTAAGGAAAGCACTTTTTCTCGCGATCTAACGAGTGCTCCTTCTACGACTGAGGTATTCGTAATTCATCTTGCTTCTTCACTAGGTCAGGAGAGCTTGGGTCACAAGTTTTCAAGTATCTTATGTCAGATTCGAGGGAAGAGAGTTTGAGAAGATGGCTTTCTTTGTGTTTGAGAACTCTATGGAGAACATTTTAATTTTGGCTTTTGCTGTTTCTCACCAATCGCCGGGGGAGTTGTAGTGAGTTCGTTCAGAAAGGATGGTATTCCATGTTGTTAGAAAAGAGGAAATGAAAGTGGCATCTTTTAATAAGGAATTGTTGAAGTGCCAGAAGGCTGAACCTCTGAAGTAGGAGTTTGAGCAAGAGATGGAGAGTATGATCGGGTGATGGTCTGAAATATAAGAAGTAGAAATTATCTTTGAAAAATTGATGCGTGCTAAAAGAGATTCATTAACATAAAAGCGATCGTGTCTAGCTTGTGGGGCATTTTGACTTCTACTTGTGAATGTAAAATCCATAATATTTGGGTTAAACTCTCTCCAAGCGTCGACTGGGCAACTTGATCGAACTAGTGTTTGTAGATGAGTTTGTAAGAATTTTCGATATTCACTATTGTTTTTCCTGTCAATGGTTCGCTGTAGGCTGCAATTAAAATCCCCTCCTAAAACAATAAGAGCAGTGGGAGGAGTATTGAGAAGATCAATTTCTAGTTCGTCAAGGACATGAATAGCGAGATCATCTGACTGAAGAACATAGACATTGTAGACTAGTAAAGGAAGATCATTCCAGACGAAATGAAGCAAGAGAAGATAACCTTTTACACTTTCTCTATATGAAGAGAGAAAGAAGAATTATTTGGAAAAGCAGTAGGAACTCCACAGTGAAAGGAAGGGTTAGTGCTTGAGATTCCTTCATTCCCCATTCATCTAAATGAATTTTCCCAGAATGAGGAAGGTGGGTTTCTTGAAGGAGGACTAAATTGAAAAGTAGTTCATGGAGCAGGGTGAAGGACTTATGAAACCGAGTTGTTCCTGCAATTCCGTTTACATTCCAACTGCAGACATCCATTCAAAGTGTGAATTCTCACTCTTATTGTAATGCTTTATGTGTCCTTGAGAATTTTTCAAGTTTTTTCTAAAGTTCTTTGTCAACTGAGATAGCACAAAGGGCATCAATCATCAGGCAGAGGTCAGGGAGGTTTCGGGTGTAGTTTTTGGCAAGCTTTTCAGGTGTCTTGGAATTCCTTGCTTCATTAAGGAACAGCAAGAATTTGGCAAAATTAAGAGAGGGTGAAGACTCTTGTACTTTAGAGAGAACCTTTTTTTCTTTTTCAGACAGTTTCAGATCATCAATAGGTGGTCTCACAGCAGGTCATTCGCTGTTACTTTCAGGGGGGAAGTCTTTCACCTTTTTTGTTGTATTTGGATCATTTTTAGTAACGTTGATATATTGGCGGAATTGCACACATTCATACAAGAAGTAACATTATCAACGTCGTTCGCTCGATTCTAGATTTTTGTGGAAATGAGTTGTCAGACCATCTTTCCGTAGCTGCGATCTTTGTGGGAAACGTCGATATACTGCACGAATTTCGCTCATTTATTCAGGAAATCGCAACAGCACCGTCGTTCGCTCGATTCTTGATTTTCGCTGTAAGGATCGCTGTCAGGCCTGCTTGAGTCAGTAATTTGGATCTTTTTGAGAAACGTCGATATACTGGTTGAATTACACACATTTCTTCAGGAAGTAGCCTTTGCTTTGTTGTTCGCTAGATTCTTGATTTTTGCTCAAATGATCGCTTTCAGGCTTCCTTCTTTTAGAAGTTCCGATCTTTGTGCGAAACGTCGATATACTGCACGAATAACGCTCATTAATTCAGGAAATCGAAGCATCACCGTCGTTCGTTCGATTCCTGATTTTTGAGGAAATGATCGCTTTTAGGCCTGCTTCTCTCAGGAATTTGGATCTTTTTTTTTTTAGAAACGTTGATATATTGGTAGAATTGCACACATTCATGCAGGAAGTAACATTATCAACGTCGTTCGCTCGATTCTAGATTTTTTGTGGAAGTGATCTCTGTCAGACCTTTCAGTAGCTGCGATCTTTGTGGGGAAACGTCGATATACTGCACGAATTACGTTCATACATTCAGGAAATCGCAGCATCACCATCATCGCTGGATTCTTGATTTTCGCGGAATTTATCTTTGTGCACAATTTCAATATACCGGTAGAATTACACATGTTCTTGCAGGAAGTAGCCTTTTCTTCGTTGTTCGCTAGATTCTTGATTTTCGCAGGAATGATCGCTGTTAGGCCTGCTTCTCTCAGTAATTTGGATCTTTGTGCACAATTTCGATATACTGGTAGAATTGCACAATTCGTCGAAACGTGAAGCGGATGATGGGAGGAGATGTGGCTTATTTGTCCGATGATGACGATGTCCTACGGAGAATATAGAGGCACTGGATGTTCATTTGTAATCCACCTCAACTAGCGTACTGCTTTCGAGAATCCCGTTCATGCCACGGAACAGCAAATTTGAAGGAAAATATGAAATCACTAATGGATCATAATACGATAGGCGTCACCATCTGCCGAAAGTGGATCTCCGTTGGCAGATCCAGCCTCGAGGCCGTGAACAAGTTCTCTGCTAATTTTTTTAAAATTATTTTTGTGAGAAGCTGAGGAAGTTCCCCATCTCTCTTTCATTCTTTGCCATACAGCAATCTCCTTTCGGGCAAAGCCGAAATCAAGCTCGCAAGAGGTGAAATTATTGATGAAATCCAACGTCTCAGATATACTGTATATTCTTCCATTCCACAGGACGAAGTGCAAGGTTTTCATTTGAACAGCTCACAAGCAACCATCCATCCGTTTGTGGCATTTTACGTAGACTCCGGGAAATCTCAATACGTGAGCTACTCCATAACATATGAATGTTTCTATCACGACACTGTTCCAGAGGGTCATCATCAACTTCCTGAGGGATTAATTTGGTTGTCTTCCGCGAAAAAACACCTGCTTTTCTCTGATGGATCTGCTTCGCACGGTAAAAATCGAGAAAATTTTTCCTCAACTTGTGCCATCATGAGACAGACTTCTCATTATGGAACTTCTCAGCCACTTGCCAAGGAAGAGGCGTGTCTGAGGGATTTGGAGGAACAGTGAAAAGGTTGGCTGCAAGAGCCAGTCACCAACGCTCAACAAATAACGACGCTTCATCGAGTTTGCGCTCGGGTATGAGCCAATACGCAATCTGAGAAATCAAGTCTTGATGCTTACAGGCCACAGCGGGCATTAGACCGTCTCAATAATAGAGGTGCGTTCCGTCATTAGAGGACCCCCCACCGCCTATAGAGAAAATTTTCAGCTCGTTCTGTTCCTTGGCGTTATAGTTTGACCAGTCGTTCCAATTTCGAACTCCCTATATTAGGGCGCTTTCGAACCTCCTAGCATAAGGAATGACTTATAACTTTCAGAAAGCATATCGCCAGAATTTTAACGCCCTTTGTTTTGGCCATAGTGTTTGAATGGATGCTTAGGCTTACGCCAACTAAGCGTCCGAATTACAAGAAAAAAACGTGAAAGAAAATAAAAGGCAATAGTAATTAAGGTCTTGAATTTCATCATTTCATCTCGCAAATAAAGAATGCGCAATCATGAGATGAATTCATTTTAGGAAGGAGAACATACATTTACGAAATGTTTGCACTTAGCCAATCGACGATGAAATCGAAATGCTGGTCCATCCAGGCGATGTTCCGTTCGACGCCTGCGACGGTGGCAGCGAAGGCACCTGCATCCTCGGGATGTTCGTCGCGGAGCGCTGTCAGAGCGTCGAGGTCTGCCGGGGTGTTGAAGTCCTGGAAAGCCGCGACGAAGGGGCCGATGTCTCCGAAGCGAGCCTTGAAGGCATCCCAGTTGTCGCTGAGGAAGTCGAAGGCGAGCTGGCGGCTCACGATGTTCTCCCCCAGAGTGCNGCTGGCGGCTCACGATGTTCTCCCCCAGAGTGCGAAAAACCTGAGCCCCGTCCTGCACGCGGATGGGGGACGTCGACGAAAGGATGTCATCCAGCAGCCGAGACAGAAGTGCCTCGTTTGTGCACGATGCGAGAGCCGAAAGCATGGCGCTTCTGTCGGATTCAGATCCCGTAAGCTGATTGTGCTGGTATCCAAATTCCCAGTCGCTGTCGTCGCCTCCATAAATTCCGTAAACGAAGACAGTGCTCTTCACGTTTGGACTCAGGACGCGTTTATCCGGATCCTGTGGATCGTAGACGGACTTCCAAAGCTGGAAGAGTTCCGACGCCCGTTGAATGCATGCAATGCTTTCCATGCCGCAGGAGAGACTCTGGATCGTGTTGGCATAGTACCACTCCATGATGTCCTCGTAGACTCCCGTGAACTCCTCCAGCGTCTCGAACGGCGTTCCGGCGAATCTCGGTTCCAAGAGACTCAGCAAATACGTCTGGATCAAAGCGTACCGTTCGGTCGAAACGAACATGCGGATCGGATAATCGAGATGGGTTGCAGCAATGGCCCAAGGAGAGTACTCCGTCTCGCTTCTCAGGAATCGGGTGAGAGACAGAGGAACGTCGTAGGATGCCAAGTGTCCCGACGCCACGAAAGTGAATGCGTCGTCGAGGAACTCCGCCCGATTGGGGAAAGGAAACTGGTTAGGGTCTCGCTCGAGCTCCGATGCCAGGAGCTGCCAGTTCTGGAGGTCGTAGTTGATTCGGCAGAACCCGTAGAAGCCCCAGTTGAGCGTGAGGAATTCTTCGGGGCCTGGCATTGGTTGTGTCGCCAGAGAACCTTCCGCCTCGGCTAGCCAGTAGACTCCTTCGCCTCCTTCGGGTGTGTAGAATTGGATCGGGACGATCCATAGCGTGGGGTCGGGGTTGGCATCGGGGTCGCTGAAGAATCTTTCTTGTCGTATGCTGATCTCGCCGGTGTCGTAGTCGCGGATCGCAGTGATGAAGGGGAAACCGGCTTGTCGGGTCCATCCGGTCATGATCTGCGAGATGGTGCGTCCCCCGAGGTCGACTCCCCAGTCCTCGGCCGATGCCTGCAGGTGACGCCACAGGTCCTCCTCCACCACGTTATCAAAGCTAGACTCGGCAAGATAGGCCGCAATCCCATCGTAGAACGGTTCCACGCCGCCCATGAATCCTTCGATCATTTTCAGCAAACCGCTCCCTTTCCCGTACGCGATGTCAAAGAGACTCCAGATCTCGTCGAGGGTGAATACGTCCGCGACCAACGGGTGGATCGACTCCTGCGCGTCCGCCCCGAAGGTCCCCAGCGTGCTCAACACATTCGAATGCTCCGTTTTCCATGCCGGATTCGGTCCCAGCACCCCCAAATACGTGCAGTACATGGCGAAACCCTCGTTGAGCCAAATCATATCCCACCACTTCATCGTGACAAGGTTCCCGAAGAAATTGTGTGCGAGCTCGTGCGACGTCACGGTACTGGTGTCGTAGACCCTGGAGAAGTGATCCCGCTGGTTGTCGACGAGAAGAGCCTCTTCCTGATAAGTGACCAAACCCCAGTTCTCCATCGCTCCGTGCAAGAAGTCTGGAAAGCTTATGAGGTCCATCTTGGGCATGGGTTCGTCAGTCGCAAAGATTTCTTCAAAGTAAAGCATCGTAAGCGGCCCGTAACTGAGCATGAGCTCACCGTCTTCGATGACATCCGGCCTGGCATACACCCCAAACGGCGTCGGACCGTCGGAGGTCAATCCGCTGAACTGCGTGACCGCGAAGCAGACCGTATAGGTCGCCATCGGGACCGACTTCTCGAACACGTCCAAGAACGTCCCATCCTCGTCCAACAGCGTCTCCTTGAGCGGCATGTTCGCGAGCGACATCCAATCCTCCTCCCGTCCGATCGCGATGTCGAATCTTGCCTTGAGGTCGGGTTCGTCGAAGCAGGGGAACGCCAGCCGCGCGTATGACGGCTCGAAGAACGTCACGCCAAGGTGTTTCTCCACTCCGGATTCCATGTAGGAACTGTGATAGAACCCGACGAGGTTTAGACGCAAGGGGTACGAAAAGTCCAGGTCGATGCTATAAGCGAGGCCAACGTCGAGTGTCTCCCCGAGATGGAAGATGAGGAACTGGCGAGGCCCATCCGTTTCCACATCCACGACTTGCAGTGGATTTCCACCCGCAACGCTGATGACGTAATTATCGATGGTCATGTCGGCGGCATGCAAGGTGATGTTGGTCGCAGCCTCCCGGCACTCCACGTCGATGACAACTCGTCCCTGCACGGGGAAGCCCAGGGTTTCGTCGAAGACGGTGCGAAGTTGGAGGTCGTAGTGGGTGGGGATGACATGTCGCGGGAGGAAGACGTCCGTTATGCCTTGTTTGTGATCTTGTTGTAGAACCGGCCGGCCTTTGCGCGGAAACGGTCTGAGCCGCTCCATGTCGGGCCAAAGGGCAGAGCAGGCCCGACAAAACAGCACGAACAGGAGAAGTTTCGATCTCGACGAATGAGAGGAAAGATTCATTCGAGCTCGAATAGACTTGGTCGATGTCGGTGGGAAAGAATGATAATGGAACAGCTGTGGAACTGGATTTTCCCCTGTGAATTTCCCCCCCCTCAAAATATAAAATAAAATACCAGTTGGTCTGCGATTTTCGTTTCCATTGAGATCTATGCAATAGAGCAGTCTTTCCCAATTTTTTTTTTTACGGCACACATAAGGACACGTACTTTCCACGGCACCCCCAGCCAATTACTTACTTTCAATGGGAAACTTGTGCTTGCTTCGCTGAACACAGCAGTTTGATAAGAGGCGTGATAGTACAACTCTCACCTGGTTTTCCACTGAGAGAAGGCGTTCCCTCTTGTTTTTACGTTTTTAAGTTTTTTAGTTTTAGTTTTTTTTTGTCAATTCTTAAATCTCACGGCACACCTAAGCCTTACAGGCGGCACACCCTTGGGGAAACACTGCAATGGAGTAATTATTGTTGTAATGAAATGTCTGACCATGGAGGAATATGTATTTTTCATAGTAAAAAAAAAAACAGCGGTGGCAGTAGTTAATATCCCGCCCCAGAAGATATCCTGAATTCGAATTTCCTCGCCTGTCGATTTTACATTGTACATTCGACCCCCTTGCCACGCGTACCATCCTCAGCCCATCCCGGCCGGGCAACGTTACCAAGCCGTCCATGAGTCTTCCATGCATCCATGGGGGCTACCGTGCATCCGCGGAACGCATTGCGATGCTGACTTATGTTCCAGGCAGTGTCGTATTTTGGTATTTGGTATATGGTATTTGGTATTTTGGTATGGTAGAAAAGTCGACTGGTGCAGGTCTCCGACGCGCAGAGGACTCATGGCAACAACGTTCACAGATAAACTGGATGGATTTTTGACCCAACAAGTATCGCCACCAAGACATAAGCTTTCGATTCGCACCTCATTTGTGAAAATCCGTTCACCTGCCTAAATGGAGTTTTACGGACTGGCGGAATGACAGGTATCAGCTTCTATGCCAGATGGCAGATCAATCATTTGCAGCTCAATCAACGCGTTTTTTTTTTACCTGTAACTCTGGCCTTCGTGCACCGATTGGGTCGAGCAGTCGATGTCTACAGTATCGGATGGCATGCATGACGTCAGACCCCGTGATCTAAAAAATTTGTCACATTTTGCAATATGGAGTTTTTCGTGGGAATAAAGAAAATGGTATGTAGGATCAAGTTCTGTCCCATGAGAAGGCACATGAGACGAAGTGCAATTTTCTGCGGAAGTCAATGCTCTCTGATGGACATCCATCAATCCATCCAATGGACATGTCAAAGGATTTTCCTTATATGAGACATTTAGTCTTCCAGGGGATCTCCGAGGAGGATACATTCGACGTCCTAGTGGCCATGAGGGTATGTCCAATGGATTTCTTTTGGATCAAAATTGCTACTTGGGTCGGGGTTCAAGAAAAATGTCAAGTTTCGATGCATCCCCTGGTGGCGTATTTTCAGGGGGCGATAAAAAAAATTGTCCGGGGGGACTGGGCAGAAATAGAAAGGTGTAACTTGGCACGCCAATACCTGAGTCGGTGATGAATTCAGAAAAAAATCATATTTTGAGGAACATACTCTCAGGGCACAGCTTTTCACTGCTTTGGCTTTTCCAAAGACATTTTTTGCCAAAGGAGCAAGCGAATTAGGCTAAAACTTGGTATGTACAGTATGCGGTTCTCAATAAAAAAATATTAATTTTTTGGTAAAACCCCTAGGGGCTCTTTTTTTTGCAAAGGGATCATTTCCTAGCATCATTTTAGACCCAACGAAAAAGCGAACGACAGGAAGTTGAAACTTGGAGCAGAGGTACGAGGGCCACTCGAAAAGTTATCTACCAGGCTATGAAAGAGGAAGACGTAAAAACTGCTTCTTAGCAGCGTGAGATACATTGGGTCATCCTCCAAGGACGCCCTCCCCCCACTTGAACTGCTTGCAGAGTCGACTTAGTGATAGGAAGGAGAACCATACGCGTTTCTCAAACGCTCAAAGGCCTCTTGCGGCGAAATCCCCTCTTTTGCAAGGAACTTCATGACGGCTCGATGCTCCAGCTTCGCCTTGTCCATTTCAACAATTTCCAATGTGCAGAAACGTAGCAGAAACGCCACTGACCTATTACTCCCCCCATGTATTACTTAAAGGCCAATGTATCTAACGCTGCGAAGAAGTTGTTTTTACCTCTCCTCTTTCATAGTCAGGCAGATAACTTTTCAAATGTGACCCCTCATGGCTGATAATGAAGAGGTGCGAAGTTAAGCGCACGAGAAATAATCAGAGTAATTATTTTGACGAAAATATCAGTTCGTTCTCTCGATGCACATTTCGACCAGCACATACTTTTTGTTACACATTTACCACTTTGAAAATAAATTAATGAGTGAATAGGGTCATTCATATCGGATCAGCCAATTTTTGGCATATTCAGAAATTTGCAAAACGTCAACACGTTCATAAAACCCTATCATCACGTGTATTTTTTTTTATCAGCGAGAAAAGATCGAATGAAGTGTATCAAATTTTGCCCCTCTAGAAAGTCCACTTAAGGAGATGTGATGACTCGAAATATGCAAAAATATAAAAATAAGAAAAACCTGTTTTCGATTGTATGGTGCCATTTTCTGTGCCTTACGACAAACTTGAAAATTTTGCAGAATGTCTGCCTTTTACTTGAGTAGAAGATGAGAGCAACTTCAAAGCGTATGTGCTTTTTTTTTAGAGCATACCACACATTTTTCGAACCCCACGTCATAATTTCTTCCGTTATTTTTAGGGCCCAAAACTTTATCTTTGATTTCAGTCATGAAAAATTTTTTTTAAAAAGAAGTAGTGAAGAAAACTGTATGATTCTTTGGCCTTAAAAACGACGCCAGGAATTACGAGGAAAAGAGGAAATCCACCGCATTAATTATTGCTCGATCGTCTTTAAATAAGCACTGTGATCTATCTGGCTAGAAATGAGGGGAAGAGGGGGTGAGGGGGATGAGGGGGAGGGGCGAGGGGGAGGGGCGAGAAGAAGTCTATCCCCAGCCTTCCACAATGTGGCGGAAGAGAATTAAGAAATATGAAGCTTCTTCATCACTGAGGTGAAACATGACACATTGTGTAGATTCGGTCAATACCAGAATTTACGCAAAAATGATAAAAACTCACAAATTTCGCCGATAATTCTATGAAGGCAGGACAGGGCTTCAAATCACTTTATTTCGCAGTTCAAAGTCGCAAAACGAACCGCAAGGTGCATTTCAATAATGAGAAAATAATTTATTGAATGCTTGCATTGAGCCAGTCGACGATGAAGTCGAAGTGTTGGTCCATCCAGGCGATGTTCCCTCGGACTGCAGCGACGGTAGCAGCAAAGGCGTCGGCATCCTGGGGATGTTCGTCCCGGAGCGCAGTCAGGGCGTCGAGGTCCGCGGGGGTGTTGAAGTCCTGGAAAGCCGCGACGACGGCGCTCACCTCCTGGAAGCGGGCTTTGAAGGCGTCCCAGTTGTCTCTCAGGAAGTCGAAGGCGAGCTGTCGACCTGCGATGTTGGCACCGAGGTAAAGGAATGCCTGAAGCGCGTCTTGGTCGCGGATGGGCGACGTCGGCGACAAGATGTCGTCCAGCAGTCGGGTGAGAGAAGCGGATCCGGTGTAAGATGCCAAAGCCAAAAGCATGGAGTTCTTGTCCGATTCAGATCCCGTCAACTGATAATGCTGGTATCCAAACTCCCAGTCGCTGTCATCCCCTCCATAAATGCCATAGAGATAGACGAGGCTCTTCGCATTCGGGCTGAGGATGGTTCTGTCAGGATCTTGGGGATCGTATGCCGACTTCCAAAGTTGGAAGAGTTCTGATGCCTGTTGGACGCATGCAGAACTTTCCATGGCGCATGTGAAACTCTGGATTATATAATTGTAGTACCAATCGAGGATGTCTCCGTACACTTCGGGGAACTGTTCCAGCATCTCGAACGGAGTTTCGGCGAATCTCGGTTCCAGGAGACTCAGAGCGTACGCCTGGAAAAGAGCGCGTCGTTCGGTCGACACGAACATGCGGTGAAGATACTCCAGGTGGGTGGCAGCCGTGACCCAGGGTAAAAATTTCGGTTCGCTTCTCAGGAATCGCGTGAGAGACAACGGGACCTCGTAGGAGGGCAAATGTCCCGAAGCGACGAAGGTGAATGCGTCGTCGAGGAACTCCGCCCGGTTTTGGATAGGAAATTGGTTTGGGTCTCGCTCGAGCTCGGTCGCGAGGAGTTCCCAGTTGCGGAGGTCGTAGTTGACTCTGTAGAATCCGGATGCTTCCACGTTGACAAAGAGGAATTCCTCGAGGCCTGGCATGGGCTGTGTCGTGAGGGTGCCATCCCCCTCTGCGAGCCAATATAGTCTTTGGCCTCCCTCGGGTGTGTAGAATGTGACTGGAACGATCCAGAGCGTGGGATCGGGGTCGGCTTCGGGATCGCTCAAGAATCTTTCCTGTTGCACTCTGATTCCCCCAGTATCGTAGTCTCGGATTGCGGTGACCAAGGGATAACCGGCTTGTCGAGTCCATCCGGTCATGATTTCGGCGATGGTACGTCCTCCAAGGTCGACGTCTGTTCCCTCGACTGCAGCCTGCAAGTTCCGCCAGAGATCTTCTTCGACTACATTGCCAAAACTGGATTCGCCGATATACGATGCGATTCCGTCAAATATGATGAACTCCTCGCTCAGGACTCCGAAGATCATGTTCAAGAGGCTGGCCCCCTTGCCGTAGGCGATGTCGAGGAGAGGCCAAAAGTCATTCATCGAGAAAACGTCCATGACGAGCGGGTGGGTCGACTCGAGAGAGTCGTCCATCAGCGTCGGCTGGTACGAGTCCCAGACGAATATCTGCCACACGTCCCAGTCTGGGTTCGGTCCCCGCATTCCCACGTACTCGCCGAAAGAGGCGAAACCCTCATTGAGCCAGATCAGGTCCCACCACTGCAAGGTGACGAGGTTCCCGAAGAAATTGTGGGCGAGCTCGTGCGACGTCACGGCGTTGACCTCGAAGACCCTGGTGAAATCCTCGGCGTCGACGTCGACGAGAAGAAAATCTTCGCGGAAAGTGACCAGCCCCCAGTGCTCCATCGCGCCAGCCCCAGACTGCGGAAGGGCGAGGAGGTCCATCTTGGGCATGGGCTCCTCCGTCTTGAAGACTTCTTCGAGCGTGAGTTGTATGCTTGGAGCGTTCTGGAGCATGAACGCGCCGTTTTCTATTGCGTCCGGCCTGGCATGCACGCCGAATGGGCTCGGGGTGTCGGTGGTCAAGCTGCTGAACTGCGTCACCGCGAAGCACACCGTATAGGTCGACATCGGGAGAGAAGTCTCAAACACGTCCAAGAACGTACCGTCGTCGTCCGGCAGCGTTTCTTTGAGCGGCATGTTGGTAAACGCAGTCCAGTCCTCGTCCCGTCCGATCGTGACGTCATATCGAGCCTTGAGCGATGGCTCATCGAAGCAGGGAAATGTCAGTCGAGCGAACGATGGTTGGAATAAGGTGACCCCGAGGTATTTCTCCATCCCAGATTCCGTATAGGATACCAAATGAAACCCGACTCGGTCTCGACGTATGGGATAAGAAAAAGCTAGATCGATTTCGTAGGTGGAACCGACTTCGAGAGTCTCACCGAGATGAAAGATGAGGAATTGATGAGGTCCGTCGGTCTCCACATCCACAACTTCCAATGGAATCCCCGACGCATCCCTGATGACATAGTCCTCGATGGTCATGTCGGCGGCATGCAAAGTGGTGTTGGTCGCAGCCTCCCGGCACTCCACGTCGATGACGACCCGTCCCTGCACGGGGAAGCCCAGGGCCTCGTCGAAGACGGGGCGGAGGAGGATGTCGTAGTGGGTCGGGATGACATGTCGCGGGAGGAAAAGGTCGGAAGTTCCCTGCCTGTCGCTTCGAAGCCGCATCGGCCGAGCCTTCCTCGCGCTCGTCCGAAGGCGTTCGACGTCGGGCCAAAGTGCAAAGCAGGCCTGGCAGAGCAGCAGAAAGACGAGTTCCCTGCGACGGAGCATGTCGTTGCGCACCGAGAACATTTCTTCCCCAGCGTGGACAGGGTGGCGGAGCTTGGGAAGGCGTGATAAGAGAACAGGTGATTCCTCCGGGTTTCGCAATGGTCTGAAATGTCCCAGGACCGTTTATTTTTCGTTCGGATTTCATCGGATAGATAAGTACCACGTATTTTTTCGCGAAGGACAACTTTAATTTATATTCTTCAGAAGAAGGGAGGGAGTCCATTTGATTTCTTAAGTGTCACCTAATGATCTATCCTTTATATTATTAAATACTCTAGTATTTCCTGCACCCGAACGTAAACCATGCCCAATAAATATTTCATTACGTGAATTTTATTAATGAACACTGATGCATGACGAGCACTACACATATAAATATGCCAATAGATTGCTGAAATACGCCAATGGGTTTTATTGTGGTTTGGAGCTCCCTATAACCGGGGTAGGTTAACCCATCACAGCATGGTGACCTGTTTCCCGAAGAAACAACGTTAAAGATCGTGGGATGTGCCACGATTTATACGGTTGACCTTAACGAAGTCGTCTCTAAGGACATCATTTAGGACATCGACGTGCATTTCGTACTCGCGAGAAGTGTAATGAACGCAGGTTTTCATCGCTTTCGGACCCAAATTGCGGGCGCCGAATGAGGTCTATTCGACATAAAGTTTCTTGAGTCTGTAAGATTTCTTCGAGGTAAAGCATTATGCGAGGTCCATTATCGAGCATATGCTCACCCTTTCAACAAAGTCTGGCCCGGCATCCGCTCCAAAGGACCTCGGCACATCTGTTGCGCCCACATTGAACTGAGTGACCGCGAAGCAGAGCATATAGGTCGACATCCCGAGGGAAGTGTGATAAACATCCAGGAACGTTCCATCATGCGTTTCCTTGAGCGGCGTGTTGCTAAGGGACATCCACTCCCCATCCCGCCCGTTAAATGTTATCAGGTCAGGCGTGCTGTCATTACACCGCCGAACCCGGGATATTCAATCATTCCTCTCCATGCCATCCCTATCACTACATATTCATTATGGCCTGCTCAAAATCACCATGGATGTTTTTGGGTTGGGTGCCCTCCTTCATCAGATGCCTTTCGCCGGTTCATCTGCGGTGATAAAGTCAAGTTCCGTTCCAAAATTATTAGGGGCAAGTGCCGATTGCATACCTGTATGTGCGGTAACTCGCTGTGTTCGCTTTTTGTCGCCGTCTCACTCCAGGGTCGGGGATTCTCGTTTTTTCGAATGACATTCATCTCATACTGAAATGTCATTTTAATTAACATGTTAGCATAGTGCAGAGTTTTCACGTGAGTCGGTGTCTACTTCAATCGCCTTCGATACGTGCCAAAGGAATGTACCAGGCACAGGTGTCGATGTTGCTCAACCAAAAAAAAAATTCGAGTGAGAAACGCGGTATGTGGTGGCCACGCACCATGAACGCGGTCTCGTATCGACTTCTGCATCAATAAGAACGAAAACAGAAAATATTCCATCAGCCAGTTTCTTTTACCTTTTTAGTACTTGAGTAATCGGGCAGTACTTTTCCAGAGAAATACCTGATAATGGAAGAGAGACTCTCAGGCAATCGTTTCGATACCGATTCGCAATCTGTGAAAAAAAGCGGTTCCTCCGGTACGAGCACCATAATGAAGTTTTCTTTTTGCCTGTGTAAAATCACTCGTGGGATGAAAGGGCTCCAGCTCGTCCTGTAAAAATGTTGGAATACTCATTAACTCCATAGAAATTGTCTTGAAAGAAACTTCGTTGTGCTCGCTACTGTTTTCAGAGGCGTGAAGAAAGAAAAATTTGGTGTGAAAAAAGGAAAAATTGATGTCATAATTTTCAAAAGGTTAGTGTGAAAAAATTAAAGTTTGGTGTGGATGGGAATGGGGTATCTCATCCATCAAGTCCTTACTCGGAAATTAACGTTCATCAGTTTGCTCCAATCCATTTCAATTGTAAATGGCCAACAGTTGTTTCATATTGAGGTATATTCACTCTAGAGATGAGGCGGGTCCAGATTTTCAGGCCCGAGCCCACCTCTACCGAGCTGGCGTCATTATTTCGGCCCAAGCTCGACCCATTTCGATTCCATCGGCCTGAGCCGGCGCCGGTTTGACTGGCGTTCCTTCTTCTCTGGTCTGAGTCTCTTCAGAGTTCGTTTAGACTGAGACTTCATCGTGATTAAGTCCGGTTCATTTTCGGCCTCACCCGACGAGGTATTCAAGATTCAAGATAGTGATATCAAGAGGCGATTTCGCCCATTTCGATATCACGTGTGGAGGTCGAGCGTTCCTTAATTTAGGGTAGGCCTAACCCTCTTAAAACTATATATTTTTGTATTTTTGTTTTGTTTTGTTTTGTTTTTTTTTTTTT